TCTTTCATTCCTTTAGAGACAGCATGAAAAGTCAGCTGAGTACAAAACATAGAGAGGAAAACAAGAAGAAAAGGGACAAGAAGAGAGGGACACAACCTAGAACAGATAATGGATGTCTATTCTATTAACATTTCTATATTTGGGGAATGGGGCTGTTTATGTCTTCTCCATTCATAGGGCCCCCTGCCTGCCTTTGCCTAGGGCCCCACACTTCCCAAATCCGCCCCTGGTAGTAAATGTGTTTCCTATTTTATGAGACTGGATGTTTTAAATCCTTCTGATATTTTCAAGCCTTGTTTCTATTTCTGATCTTTTTGCTCAGATGATGAAATAAAGTCTCAGACTAACCGGAACCTTTGAGTTCAGAGATGCTTCCTTCCTTCCTTAAAGCTTTTTTTTTTTTAACCTGATAAATGAGCTGAATGAATATGACTGTTTATCACACATCATGAACACCCTGTGAATCTATTGGTCAGAAACACGTGTGTGAGGCCCGTAGCGTGACGTCAGCGCCCAGTCTTTTAACCAATCAGAAATCAGATCCAAAAAATGTTTAGTGGAAGTATTTGAGCGGCATTTTCATGAAGCGCATTTAGTGCAGCAGGAAACATCTGGGACTAAAAGCAGGACCTGGAGGAGACCTGAGACCCATCATCATCATCATCATCATCATCATCATCATCATCAGCAGCAGCAGCATCTTTATGCCTCAGGTCATCCGTGGTGCCGTGGAGCAGAGAGGTGAGGCTAGAGAGGAGAGGGATGCTCTCATCACAAAGGAAGCAGGATTGTTTCTGGCCAAAAGTCACCGGAACAGAACTGCTGCTCCTCTGCTGCTCCTCCGCTGCTCCTCCGCTGCTCCTCCGCTGCTCCTCTGAACGCATCAGCTGACCCATCAGAGGGAGAACCAGAAGGAGGACTTTCTGCGTTTCTTACTGATCTTCATTATGGAGGAGAATGTTCTGCCAGGAACGCAGCGCCCAAAGAACCCCGGAGAGGAGCCGAACCGGGCCAGAGGGCCCCTCCTGCAGCAGCCGGGGAACCAGCAGTCCAGCGGGGTCACCAACTTCTTCATCGACAACATCCTGAGGCCGGACTTCGGCCTGCGGAGGAAGGACGGCGGCTGCGGCCGGGGAGGGCCCGGAGCGGAGGCACGGAGGAAAGCCTCCAGAAGTGACTCTAAGCGCGGGGGGACAGCGGGACAGGAGCCCCTCAGGGGCCCCGCGGAGGCTGAGGCGAGGGACCCCGAACTGATGACAGCCTACGATTCAGGCCCCGACAGCGGAGAGGCCCCGGCGGCCCCTGCAGCCAGGCCGATGCTGTGGCCGGCCTGGGTTTATTGCACCCGCTACTCCGACAGGCCCTCAGCAGGTTGGTGGAAAAATTCCCTCATTCTGAGCGGCGATCATTAAAGGAGAATATAAACGAAATAAATTAATAAATGGCTCCAATTAAATTATTTAAAAAACAAAAAGAAAAAAAAAACAAAACAACTAAAAAAAAAACTGATAAAAACTGTTGGCTATCTGAAAGGAAACAAAAAGATAAAATGACTGATGAAAAGAAAATGTACTAAAGTAAAAATAAAATCATAGTTGAAGCTTTATTTTAACTCCGAGGAGCTTCGCTCAGTTCAGCAAAACAATAGAAACTAGAGTTAATAGAGAAACCCGCGCAGATCAGGCCGAAAAAACAACAATTAGACCCGAAATTATCATTATTAATATTATTATGACTACAATTATTGTTCTTTATATTATTGTTATTAATGTTTCTATTATCAGGCTTATTAGGGTTTTTTTTTCTTGGGAAGCTCAGCTCTGCTACTTTGGTTTTCCGACTTTTGATTTTCTGTCCATAATAATATTAATAAATGAAGAATTTATTAATATGAAAATGAAAGAGAAAAACTGCGCCTCTGAAGCGCAGAAAATATGGAAGAAAATCAGAGTTTTAGGCCTTTGTTCCTCCGTTTCTTTGTTATTTTTTTCATTTGCATTTTTATTCCAACTAAAGGGGGGAGGGGGGGCGGCAAAAATTCCAAATAGATAAATAGATGTTTCTTTTTTTTTTAAATGTCTAAAAAACTTTTTCCATATTTTTCTCTGTTTTTTAAAAGATGCTTCGTTCATATTTTAAATGAGGAAAAAGTCTTAAAGACAGAAAAGAATAAAACGGAACCAGAACTCTGCTGAAACGGACGGAGGCCCAGAAGTTCAAGCCTCTGGCTGAGGAACAATTCTGACCCGAACCGAGCTGACCCTGAACCGGGTCCAATCCGTCCGGCGCGTCGGTTTGATCCCATCTGGTTCGGTTCTAATTAGTTCGATCAATTAACTTCCCACAGTTTGATTTTGGTCTTAAAATAATCTAAAATAAAAAAAAAAAATATCCATAATAGATGAAATAATTGAATCAGATCTTTAGAAATGATAATAATTGTTTTTCTCAGATGGAGATAAAACCAAACAGCCGCAGGAGGAACTTTAGTCCAGGACCTCCGATCCAAAGGGCCCGGTTCCGATTCGCTTCAGGCCCCCGGATCGGTTTAGATTTGGGGCCCAGAGAGACGGAACCGATACCCGAACCTTTAGGCGGTTCTGAACAGAGTGTAACCGGATCTTGCTTTGCTCCACAGGGCCCCGGTCCCGCAGAGCCCGCAGGGCCCCGGGCCCCAGCAGGGACGACAAGCGGCCCCGAACCGCCTTCAGCTCGGAGCAGCTGCAGCGGCTGAAGGCCGAGTTCCAGAACAACCGGTACCTGACGGAGCAGCGGCGGCAGAACCTGGCCCAGGATCTGGGTCTGAACGAGTCCCAGATCAAGATCTGGTTCCAGAACAAACGGGCCAAGATCAAGAAGGCCTCCGGGAAGCCGAACTCTCTGGCCCAGCACCTGATGGCGCAGGGCCTGTACAACCACTCCGCCTGCAGGGAGGCCCGCTCCGACAGCGACTGAGGGCCGCACCAGAACCGGCACCAGGACCGGCACCAGAACCCCTGATCCGGACCCGGGAGCGGCAAACAGCGGATTCAGAGCCGAACCTTAAACGATCCACATGGTTCTGTTTCTACAATCCGGTCCAGTCCGGTCCGGTCCGGCAGGGGGGCTTCCAGAACCAGATCTATGCTGAAACCCAAAGAGAACTTCTCGCCATCTTCTGGGTTCTGCTTGATGGGATCCGAGGTCCGGTTCGGTTTTGGGCCCAAAGGTTCTGTTATTTCCTGAACACTGACCGAACCTCTCTGGGACCAGGATTATGGACCGAACCGAGCGCGCGGCCTTATCCCGGGTTGGACCATTTATTCTCTTATTTATATCAACCAGTCCAGTTTACAGAACCAACCGACATGTTCGGCGGGTCCAGATTCTGGGTCCGAACCGGATGTGGGCCTTTTGATGCAGTTTTTATTGTTTCCAAATAAAGATGTGAAATTTCTAGATGTTTCTTTTCTGTTCGGCTGATTTTCTCCTTTTGATCCAAATCAGTTTGAATTAAAACAAAAACAGAACCGGAACCGGAGGCCGTTTGGAGGCCCGCTGGTTCCGTCCAACCGAACCCTTTAAAATTGAACCCAAAATGTTGAACAGATTTGATTCATCGGAACCGGAAGGTGAGCGGTTCGGTTCATCAGCTGTAATCTGGACCGGAACGTTCTGAGACGGAAACCGGTTCGGCTCAGTCTGATCGGCTTAGAGCGGTCCAATTCACATCAGAACCGTCCGGACCGGGTCCGGTCCGAGCTGCTGATAGAACCAGAACCCTGCTTGGTTCTGGTTCTGACTTTACAAACAGACAGAATAATAATAATAATAATAATAATAATAATAATAATAATAATAATAATAATAATAATAATAATAAACAGCTTAAATAAATCAGCATTTAGTTCAATTTTCCGGATCTAACAGTTTAAAACTGAAGCTTCGGTTTTAATCATATTAATATCAAAGTCAAAATAATAAATTGGTCCAAAGGATAAATATTCTGACTGATTCATTATTAATCTGCAAAAACTGATCTAGAAAAATAAAAATTTCCTTAAAATGAGCGACTTTGACCTTAATTATTAGTTATTATCAGTATTTTATCGTCACATTGGGAAATTGTCCAACTTATTTTAATGAAGGAAAATTATTTCAAAAAAACGGATTTACTTTTATTTCAGTTTTATTTTTTTATCCTATGTTTTCAGTACAGGGGCCAAACCCGGTTCTAGCCGGCCCCTGCTGGCCCCTGCTGGCCCCTGTAACCATCCAGGCCATTCAGAACCCGTCCAGAACGGGTCTCTGCTGTGAACGGAACCACCTTTGTAAAAACAATCATCAGAATAAATTTATTAATTTAACAAAATCCAGTAAAATAACAATTCATACTGTTTAATTAATGACAATTATAATCAGATTATTATTTAGATTTTATTGTTTGAAAAATGCTACGAAGAAATGAAACTAACAGAAAAGTCCATGAAGTGAACAAATAAAATGTTTCTGTCCTTATAAACATGAACAATTATTATTAACGCAGTTATTACTCATTTATTACATGTAATAATGATCTATTATATGGAACAGATTCAAACCGAGGAGATAATTTAATGTCCTCCAGGGTTTAAATATTGTTTCTAAACGAGACGAACTTCTAAATGTTTTCTGCTCTGATGTTGGAGCTGAACAGCTGCTTCAGTGAGGAGTCAGGTGGTCCTACAACGCGTCACTTCCTCTGGAAGAGAACCCAGAGGACGGAACTGAGGGGACGGAACCCAGAGAGGAGGGAACCGAGAGAGGACAGAACCCAGAGAGGACAGAACCGAGAGAGGACGGGCCCAGAGAGGACGGAACCCAGAGAGGACGGAACTGAGGGGACGGAACCCAGAGAGGAGGGAACCCAGAGAGGACAGAACCGAGAGAGGACGGAACCCAGAGAGGACGGAACCCAGAGAGGACGGAACCGAGAGGACGGAACCCAGAGAGGAGGGAACCCAGAGAGGAGGGAACCCAGAGAGGACGGAACCCAGAGAGGAGGGAACCCAGAGAGGACGGAACCCAGAGAGGAGGGAACCCAGAGAGGAGGGAACCCAGAGAGGACGGAACCCAGAGAGGACGGAACCCAGAGAGGACGGAACCGAGAGGACAGACCCGAGTGGACGGAAGACGGAACCAAGAAGGCACAACCTTAGAGGCTCCAAGGGCCCAAATGGCTCCCGGGACCTGAATGGCACCAGGGGGCCTCACCTGCTCTCCCTCCCAGCAAATGGTGACAGGCCGTGGACCCTCAGGCCGAAAGCTGAAGGACCACAGAACCTGGATCCAGGTCCAAGTCCTTCCTTCCCGAGCAGGAAGTCATGGACCGGGTCCAAAGTCTCCTCTGTTCCTCCTCTATAGGAGGTGAGGAGAAGTCACCATGAAAACATTCTTCTTCCAAATGTTGGCTACTTTTCCTCTTCAAGTTGTATTTGGTTATTTAACCCTTTCAATTCTGATCTGGTTCATCAGAAATAACAATAAATAAACAAACAAGTAAACCAGCCTGAAGTTAAACC